TTTGAAACTGTCTCATTGCTATTTGTTTCTCAATAAAATTATGGAAAAAAAAGACATGTCACTAATTCTTGTCTTTAATATGCATGGAATCTATATTTTGAGAAAATTTCTTGAAGGAAAAGAATTTATTCTAAGTTCATCTGAAAAGGAATAGTTCACTGTCTTTAAGAGATTTTTATTTCTTCTACTACCATATTTTTCTAATGTTTCTCACATCTGCACTGAATTGTATTATACTAAGGAGAACACGTCTAACATGTCACGCCATGACACAGATTCTCATATCGTGCTAGAGACTGCAGAGCACTCAAATAGTCTTATCTATTTCTAAAAATAATCAAAGAAATTTAAGGAATTATTATGAAGTAAAACTAAACTCTCCAACTACATAAGATTGCTGGCTTGTTTTCATTTTCTGACATGCCCTAGGAATTATTTTTACTGAGATAAATACAAATTACCTTTTAATTACATTTAAAGGTCCCTATTAATCCTTAGGGCACTTATACTGCTCTTCTATGTTACATAAATCCCTCAAACGGGGTTGTTCCCAGATCACTGAATCGTGCTACCAAGTAGTACTACTATACTTCTTCAACAAATAAATGTTCTACTATGTGCATGGGGCAAACAACATGATGATAAAATAAACCAACTCTGCTCATTTCTTTTCTCTAATCATAGTTTCAGTTTTTCTTGTTAAAGGAACACACTTCCTTACAAGGTAAATGCAGCCCTCCGGTATCTCACTTCAATGTCCCATGAACACCTCTGCTACAAAACAAAGATAACTAGCTCCTTCCACCCAGCCCCCAATGCTTTCCTTCCTTTCACTTCTGAGGTAAAAGTGACACCCACCAATTTTCCCAAAATACTCTCTGCCTCACCCCGAATGGCAACTTAAGTCACCAAATGCTGCAGATTTTATTTCCTAAAATGTCTGTTTCTAAGTATCTCTAAACCCCTCAAATCCTGGCTACTGACACAACCATCGCCCTAGTACTAGTTCCATTTTGCCTCCAGCCCCGCCATAGACTCATTTGTCCTGGATATGCACACACCTCCTCCAGGCACTCATCTCAATACAGGAGCCTAAGAGGGCGGCTCTCCCTTGCTGTACACTGCGCGGACTATAACGTCCAAGTCCTGCAAGGCAGGCTGTGAAGCTCCGTTATCTACAGGCTGCCACCTACTGGTTCCTCCCAAGGTGCACTCTGGTTTCTTCTCCATCTGTACATCCCTCTCCTTTGTCTTGCTATAAGATGGTCTAATATTTCAACCTTAGAGAACTTTAGTTTATATAAAAAATGATGGGTTAATAGGCCAATTCTTAGTCTGGACATTAATTTTATTAATAACATTATTATTCCTTTATTTAATATACAAAAATATAACAGAAAGCTGAAACAAACACCCAAACAGAATGAAACCAGGTTTAATTAAGGTAGAGTTATATTTCATGAAAATGTGCTTTATGAATTCTTAAGTACACAGAAAATGTTTTGGCTGAAAAGCAGCCATTTGTCATTCTGCATTTGTGGCATCAAAATGTTCTTTAGCATCTTTCACATTTCCTGCCATGTTTTTAAGCATTAAGAAGTGTGGGGATAATTCAAAGGCTTAACAATCAGGCCACATTCTACTGCAGTAAATACAAACAGTATAATTTTTCCTTTTCCATATATTCAACCTCCTTGCATCCATGCTCCAGCTGCTCCAACTGCAATCCTTTCAGGGCAAAAACCAAACATGAAATATTACTAGCCATTAGACACACTGAACACTTTCCTTATCACACAAGGGCAATAGAAATTACGGTTGAAGTTAGAGAAATGTTAGAAAATGTGTGGTAGGTTTTTATGTGACTTCATATATGTTGCATAATAGTCAAGAAAGAATAATACATTCCTAATATATTCTCTTCTATGGTAAAGACATGTAAGTTAAGCTATGAGCTTGATGACTTTGTGACCAAATGTGCTTTTAAAAAAACTGCTACGGTGATACTGTAAATAAACACAAGCAGAACTTGTGCGACATTCAAGATTAGTCCTTTGACTAATGTTTACATAACAATCTATAAATGTAGCATCTATGTAAGTAACAAGACCAATATTGATAGCTGATCTTCTTAAATACATTACATATACTTTTACAAAAATAAACCTTTTAGCAAGGTGAAGATCACTAAGATAAGCTACCTGGTTACAGTAGTGCCAAAAGTAGACACCAACCCCCTCAGCTCTGTTATGTGGCCAAAAGCCATTCAATATTAAGCAAATTAGTAGAGGTACTTGTTTCTTTTTTCTTTGCGATACCTGTTTTGAATGTGGTAGAAATCTGACACTATAACCAAGGACTAGCTCAAACTCACAACAGAAAAATCACCCACTGAAATGTTTATCTGAGAAAAACACCTCACTTGGAACAAAGATTTTTCCTATAGTTCTTACAGGAAAAGAATCTTAGATGGTATCATCAAGGTTGAAAACAAGCTTGGATAAATATAGCATTGATGATATCTGTATCAATACTATCTTGTATGAAAGGATGCTGTGCTCACAGGAACTGCCAAATGGTACTCTACACTCAACATACTACACAGAGTAAGGAGAACTACTACTTACCCTAGCATCATATTCAAGGACAAAAGGAGGAAAGTCAATCTGTTCTGGTGATATGGCAGAAAACAGCTGGTGCAGGCTGTCCACATGGTGAATTTTGTCCTTCAGTCCTGAGACAGAAAAGGTGGTGAAAAACCATGTTGATACCTGATTAATAGAAGAGAGAAAAAAAATTAAGCTAGTAGTCATGAAAATTCAAATACGCTTTTGAAAATTTATACAGATAAAAGCTATATTTAAAAATCTTATAGTAGTTTTTTCAAACTACAGGTGCAGCTCATCAGTGAGTTGTGCAATCAGTTTAACAGATTCTGAACAACAGTAAAGAAAGAAGAAAGTAGAACAACAGCCACTAGAGCTGTAGTAAAGATGAGTTCTGTGTGAAGTTGCTTCATCATAGATGTACATGTCCCTATGTGTGCAATGTGTTGTGCTGTAATACATGCTTCTTACTACAACGACAGTCCAAATCACTGCATTATTTGATAAAATAATTGGTGGTCAGAAAATGATTAATATCTGCACATCTCATAAACTTTTTAAATTATCAAATGAGGTTGAAAAGACAATTTTGCCAACATTTTGGGACAAGCTATATAGCCTGCCACATATAGACATATTTTTAGTTAGCAGTTGGTTGTGGTATTTCTTGAAGTCAATCAAAATGAATCACTTATAGCCCCAGGGCCACCTCCGCTAATTTTACTTTGTGACCTGGTAGTCCGACTTCAAAGCAGATAGTGTTAGTTCCCCAACTCTTTCTTTTCTAAAGTTGGTTGATTAAATTCTTATGAATTTAATGAATTTCTTATGAATTTCAGAATCATTGGTCAAATTTGAAAAAAAAAAACTTGTTGCAATTTTTGGTTGGGATTTAAATAGATTTACCAAGGGATGAGAGCTATATTAAATCTTCTACTCCACAAATGTCTCCATTCATTCAGATCATTTCAAATGTCTTGAAGTTTTTCAGTATATAGAACTGTATACTGTACAAGGATTTATAACTTTTGTCAGATTTATCACTAAGTATTTAAAATGTAACACCTACATAGATTTTGCTTTTTATACTTCAATGCCTGCTGCTAATATATACTTAAACTTTTAAATATTGATTGTTATCCCCTGAAATCTTGATCACACCCTCCTTAGCTTGCATAGCTTCTGTGTGGCATCACATACAGTTTTCTATGCAGGCAATGACCTTTTAAACTAGATGCCTTTAATGTCTTTTTCTTGCTATACTATGTCGACTAGAACTTTGAATACAACGCTGAATAGAAGTGCTGAGAACAACCTAACCCTTTTTGTTACCCTTAAAGAAAATGTTCAGCAGTTACTGGGTTAACAAAAAAAATAAATAGCTGATGAGGCCTGGAGAAATAGTTAAATAGTAGTTGCTTAAGTGCCAGAGAAAAAAGTTAATCACCTACTGAGAATAATAGTGGAGAACATGGGAAAAGTTAATAATAAACATTATCTGAGAAGACCATGTAATCAGAGCTCACCTGAACCAAGAGGACAAAAAGACCTTCAGTTAGCAGACTGTTCGGACAGTACTTGCTTTCTTAAAGAACCTGCCAAACAGTGCTCTCACATTTTTAAGATTACTTAGTAGACATAATTATAATAATGCGATGATATTTTAATTCCTGTAGCTATTGTGTAATGATCAAATCTAGATAATTTGCATATCCATCACTGGATACATTTTGCATGCGTTTATTTAGCATTTACTATGTTGTTCCAGTACTGAGAGACCAAAGGGAAATCTGAAACTTTTTTTTAAATGTATTTGGTACAGGGTCTCACTACGCAGCTTGGACTCACAGCTATCCTATTTTTAGCCTCCCCAGTGCTGGGATTACAGGTGTGGCAGGCTCAGTGCGCCTGAGGATGGGGCCCTCGTGGCATGTGGTGCTGGGGATCAAACCCCAGTCCCTGCACTTGCCTGAGCAGGTGTTTAGTTTGCTGAGCTATATTGCCAGCCCTTGAAACTTTTACAAGAGTGACTTAAAATACACACAAATTTTAAGCCTGGCATGTAAATGGAAACAGTAATTACATAAATAATGGCAAACCTGCAGAGGAAATCATCTCCTCACTTAAATCTTAACTCATCTCTTAACTATGAAATATGAGGAATGTATCTTAAATTCTACAGTCCTTGAAAATAATGACCATTCCTACCACCTCTAATCATTCTGCCTTTCCTGGTTCTTTCAGCATTAATCCACAAGGCCCCACTACTAATTTTTAATGACTTCTTCTTGGTCTCTTCCCTGGTCCCAGAGCACTGTCTTTAGCTGTCCTCTTATTTATTCATTATCATTCCTAAAGCATTAAATCCCTGTTTACATGATGGTGACTTTTAATACACAAAAGTCATCACTTATCTAAACCAAGCCATACGTTCAGTTCTTTTTTGTTTTTGCCAAGAGTTAGCAAATGACTGTAAAGGTTCGTCAGAGTAAACAGTGTAGGCTACTTATAAAAACATTAAAGAAAACTTCACGTGACGTGACTAAAGCCCACTGCAACAGTGCAATACGGGAGACAGGGTGACACGCAAGAGTTGCAGAAGAGCCCTGCACTGGCCGGCTGTCACTGGAGCTCCGATGGGTCGGTAGCTCCTACAATTTCAGGTCAAGGTGGCAAGGGGAAGAAGTAAACTGGTGGCAGTGAAAAGTAAAGACATGGACACAGATTGGAAGAGAAACGAGCACACAGATAATGCAAGTACAGAGCTGTGAAAGGAGGAAGTAGTCCAGGATGATTCCCTGGATCCTGGCTTGGGCACATGGGTAGGCAGAGCTTCCAGTCAGTAAGATGGGGAATAAGAAAGCATACTGGGATCGGATGGGGGAAAGGACACGAATAAGCCTGTTTTTCAAGTGATGAACTTCAGGAATCTGTACACTACAGGCATGAAGACATCTAATGAGCTCTTTAATGCTAGTTCTAGTCCCTAGGAACAATGACAACGACACTTAAGAGTTACTGAACGTTTATTATATGTGAAGTGATTTTTAAAGCACTTTACATATACTAACTCATTTTATTCTTCCATTAACCCTTACAAGGTTTTATAGACAATGAAATTAAAGTGCAGAGAGACATATTTAGGGACTGCATACATTTTGAAGGGTTTCAAAACAAAGACAGGAAAATGCAAAACTACAGAACAAATGATGAGTGCAGAGGCCTTGTGAATACTAATGAAAAGCAAGTAGAGAAAGACACAAGCACACGTGAGAAGGCGCAGTTAGGAGAGAAACCAGGCAAGGTAAGTTTCAAAGAAGTTGAAACTGTTTTAAGGAACAAGTGATTAACCAAAAACAGCTGTAAGGACAGCAGGTAATATAAAGGCAGGAAAGTGTCTACTGGATTTACAGTAGAGATTATCAGTGACTCTGGTGCAAACAAGGTTAGCTGGAATTATGGAACTAGAACAGGACTGGAGTAACTTAAGGTGTATGAGGAATAAGACGGTGAGACTAGGAAATAAGATTACGCTATAAAATTCTGGATATGAAGAGAAGCCAGCGCCATGGCATGTTTAAGAGCTGGTGACTTAGATCCAGCAAAGTAGGAGAGGAGAAAGAAACGAACTGCTAAAGAGAGGTTCCTGAGAATGTGGCGATACCTCCTACAGTCTGTGTGTCATCATTGGAATTAAAGTGTTTAGGCTGAAATACAGTCTTAGCGGCTTATTCTGAGCATCGATTCCTTCTCTTGTAAGGTATGAGAAGATACCACAAAGATACTAGAGACACACAGGCATTAGGAGCACAAGGTGGGGATCAATTAAAAAGGGCAAAAAAGGATACTAGCAGTCATGATGGTGACAGCAATGATCAAGAGGATGAACTGTGTCTTAATGACCTGAACATGGAGTATACTTAAATTCAATAGTTAGCTAAACGAGAAAAATACTCTACCTTTGAACGAAATGTTGGGTGAACAAAATAAACAGCTTTCAAATTCCTCTTGTACCTGATGAAAACAAACAAGCAATAGGGTCAACATAAGTCAGGTTTAAAACTAGTCTCCATCATAGACAACTAACTCTTTGCTTGAATAAATAAATATATTCACAGAAGAAAAAATATTCTGGAAGCAGTTCAAGTGTATGTACTGAGTTTTATTTCAACAGTTCAATAGTTCATGAAGTTAAACAGAAAAGACTTCAGAGCACAATATAAACTCTTTTCTCGTTGAGTCTTATTGCAAGTTAAAGAGCTACATCATGGTATTAGGAAGGCCACAGTGGAGTGCAACTTCTCTGGACACGTGCAAACTACATTCAGAGCAAGTTACAAGGGGTCTCCTGGATAATGGAGGCATTCATACTTCTTTTTTTTGGAACCGGAGATTGAACTCAGGCCCTTGCGCTTACCAGGGAAACACTTATTCTACTGAGCCATCTCCCCAGCCCCAATATTTCCAGTCAAAATGAAATTTAAGAGAAGAGTAAAACAATTGGGAATTTATTACTTTCTTTGCATGTTAATTGTACAATGGATTTTTTGAAGTTATCTATAGACATTTGTGTTGCTACAAATAACAAAACAGCTACTAAGTGAGAAGAATGCCATTTTATTTAAGAAATGTGGGGATAAGAAAAAATTTAAAGCATTACATTTGATCTTGCTATAGTAGGGTACCCTATTTTTTATAGTTACAACTTCTATTATCACCTCAAGTGAAATCTAGTTCAATGAAAATAATTTCAAGTCCATATTCTTACGTCCATAATAATTAAGTCCATATTCTTGAACTGTTTTGAAACCTAGGGCAACATACTTTACAGTTCAAAATGTCATTATTCTTCTATTTTTCAAGCCTAGACAGTATGCCTCTTAACAAACTTATAGGCTATTAGATCAAATTAAATAATGCTTATTAATATATTTTAAATGCCTTTTGTTATTTCAAAAAAAAAAAAAAAAGTCATCACTCCAATCCTCTTCTAAAGTGTTTAGAAGTGGGAAAAGATCACAAATAACTTTAATGCAAAAAAGTTAGAGATTAAATTATCTATGTATGATAAAGACCTTTGTAAACACCCCTTCATAGAATATGCAAGAATATTTGTCACTGTCTAATATTTGAAAATAAAAAAGCAATGATCCCTTTATAATTTCAAGAATAACTAACTTGACATCAACAACATCATAGAGTTTCTTCAGGAAGTCGGAGTCCAGGTGATTGTATTCGCTGGTCAGTGTATGAAAATAAACTAATACATATTCCTTCACAGCAATATGATCCATTACATGGATAAAGTATAAGAGAGCCTAAAAAGACAAAGAGAAATAAAGATCACTTTGCACAATAATCTCTTTCACAGAGGCTGAGACGCAGGGAAAACCTGGAAGACTGGTCTGAACTATGCTCCACTCCCTGAGATGAACACATGAGATAGGTGCCAATTCTCTAAAAGGGTCTTCAGGAAAGCGCATCATCTCAATGTTCAGTAGTTCTCACTAATTCTATCAACGGCACAGTCCCTGTCTGTCTTGTTCTACGTGACAGAAATAATCGATCTCTATTCTCTCTGAAACAGTTTTTGGATCAACTGCCAGATTTTTCTCTCCAGGATAATGATATAAAAATCTTTAAAAGTACTATAATTTGTAGACTTTTAATAATTCTTAAGCTTCTGCTTAAATTCTATCAAAAACTTCGTGGTCTTTGCTTAGAAATTCAAGGCTCTAATATAAGCAAAGATTAATATAAAAGAATATAATGAATAGTGGTTTATAAGAGTCATTCTGAGGAACAATTTCCTAGTGTTTTCAGTGACAATCTGTATGAGGAAATAGGAATGGATTTTGTCAGTACAGGGCAAAAGGCTAGGTAGCATTTATAAAGCTTGAAAGAGTCAAATTTAATGTGACTCAGGTTGGTTAAAGAAATACTCCATTACAAGAAATTTAAAGAGAGAAACAAAAACAGAGCAGAGACATAACATGGGCAGGGCCAGTATGACCTAGTGCCTTCCTGTCAACAAATTACAAAGCGGAAGCTAAGAGGCAACACCTGAAAGGATCACTACAAAACAGGCTATTTTGTAACGCTCCGCAGGTATGCCTTGGCACTGCTACTAGAGCAGGCAGAGGGCCTTAAGAGAACACGGTCACTTGTTGTCATCTGGTTTGGACCTCACATAAATCTCATTACTGTGTAGGAAATGATTTAGCAAAATATCCAAGATGCCAAACAAGTACACATCAAAATCAAATGCAAGTTGAATATTTTATTTTTATTTAACAGTTTTTAACTTTTTTTTCTTCTAGGAATTATCTACTTCTGCTCTTTCCCCCTAAATGGAGGGATTATGAAATCATGTTCCATTGGGAAACTATAACTAGTTTTTTTCTCTTCTGATACTCAAGTGTTTTTCTTTTTTTCAAAAAATTCTGAATTTGACTGTACAATTATAGTACAGAGTGATCCCAAGCAAACACTGCCAGTTAATCATATCTAAAACAAAGCAGCTGTGTTTCTGGAGATCATATTTCAGAAGCCCAGGGTTTCTGTTTTCTTCTACAGAGAAAAATTAAGTCCTTAACTGAAATGACACATCTGACTCAGAACTGAGGCCATTTGGTCAGAGACACACAACTCAGTGTCCCCTCATGCTGTAAGCTGATTTCCTAAATTCACACTCAATGTTTAGAAAAATATTACTTATAAGACAGAACCTTTTTACGGCTTACCTTGTCCATATCTATCAGTGTAACAGGAATGTTTCTTCCCACTACCACCATCACGGTGCGACCACAGTTATCGACACCTACAAGCAGAAAATTTAATCAGCACCCCAACTTTATTTGAAAAGCATTATTTGTCTTGGTCTCTGATCCCATAACAGATATTCCACACATAACCTCCTCTTCCCACATGTGAAACTAGAGGGAGAGGGTGGGGCAAGAGTGATGATGGAGGGGGTGAAAGTGATCAAAGCCTGTAATTCCGCTATGAATCTACCAACATGAAACCCTCTGATCTGTATAACCAATAAAACACAAGAGCAGAAAAAATACTATATAGACGTTTAAGATTGGAAATCAGAAAGCATAAATCTCTCAAATTTCATCTTCACATTTCTTTAACTATACAGAACACTACTTATTAAGGACTTATTAAGACCTCTTAAAGATTTTGAATCAGTGAAAGCCTTTGTTAGGATCTTTTTATAATTAACTTTTCATTTAAGCTCATGACAACTTTTAATATTAATGATCCAAGATAACCTAAACTATGAGTCAACTGAAAATTAACAATACTATCTGAAAAAGGAATATACTACAGAAAAGAATAAGGAGCCAGGAGATTTTGCTGTCTCCATAATAAATTTATGTAAAGTCTGAATTTCGTAATAGTGAGTACGTAATACTGTTAAGGCAAAAAATAAATACATAAATAAATAAAAGGAAAAGGATCATATGAAAAATGAAGTTGGCAACATAGGACCCTAGGTTGAAATTTTTATAGGCTGGTATGCTATTTTAAGATCTGGACGATGGATGAAAAGTATGTATTAGTACATAAGGGTTTTACTCATTGACAGAATGGAGGGGGAAAAAAGTCTCAAAATAGCATGCTTAGGATGGTCCTTAACTAGAGAAGAGTAAGCTGCTCAACTCACCTGTTTGGTATAAAGCTTTCAGAGAAGCAATATCAGACAGATCTTCAGCTCTTGCTTGACACAACCATCGATTGTAACTAGACAGGTAACAGATACAATCATTATAATAGTCTTGCAAATTAAATTTGTAAAGTTTTTAATCTTTCCCTGAGCCTAAAGAACTGTGGTTTCATTAAAATGAAGGAATTAAAGAAGCCACTACAACATGTAGAATCTTATGTTTTGGCAAGATAAATATAAATGAGTTCATGACAAAAGAAAGTATGCACATTCTAAGAATAAAAAAAGTTCTTACAATTAAATAAAATCTATACAGACAAATGGCTAACATATGAAGTACTTGGAGAAATATTGTTTTAAAATGCTATATGCCCCTCTCATAAAAAATACAAAGACAAAGCCTAAAATAATGTCAAGTTTTCCAAATAAATGTTCACTCATTCCACAAAGATTTATTGAGTGGTTACTCTATGACAGGCATTAAGATTACAATGAGCAGGTAATAGAGTGGCTGCCCTTCGGAAGTTTATTTAGGAGAAAAGTGGGTAAGTCCTATACATGGTAGGTGGGACCACAAGTGAACTAGGTAATTTCATCTTGAAAGTTTATGCATGTTTAATGATTGGCTGAACTGATCAGTAGTTGTACTGATGTCCCATATACCAGGTCATAGGGACATTATGGTTTTGGTCAAGAGGATGTAAAAAGCTCGAAGGGTCATTAAAGATCTTGGAGAGATGGCTTGGAAAAGAGTAATGGTTGATTTAATATCAAAGTTAGTAGCCAATTCACGGAAGAGTGTAATCTGAAGTTCCTGCATAACATAGCTTTGTGTGTGCATATAACCTATTCACATCCTCACGTATACTTTGACACATCTCATTTATCAAAGGCTTATTACATAAATGTGAGGCCTGCATCATGGAAGGGACGCAAGTACTCAATAAGAAACATGAACATTATACAAGGCACTTTTGAGGCCTGATAAAAAGATGCTTGTGTTTGGAGTTTAAGCTGATATACATGAGATGTTATTACAAACAGAATGAATTCTATAGAAGATAAAGCAGACCAACAACCAAACAGTAGTCTACATAAACTGTCTATCAAATACATACACAGTACTGAGAAGGGGATTGATGGGGAGCAGGTAAAAAAGGACTGGAGGCACATTCTAGATGATTCTGTAGACACAACTACCTCAACAACTTCTGCATTTGTCAGTATAAGGCTTTGTTCACTTATTGCAACGTATGCGTCCACTGCATTACACCATAAAATAGGGACTGTGTCTCACTTATCTCTGTATTTCCGGTCAATCCCAGGGTACTTTCTAGTATTTGCTATTAATTACGCTTCTAATGAACTCTGAAAGGAATTTTTTAAAAAGTGGAACTCAGGTGCACGAAACAATACTTTCTGGTTCAAAACACTCTATCACTGATATCCCGTTTTAAGTTTAAACCCATCTATAGTTGTTTTTGACAAAGCAATCTTCCCTAAAACCCATCAACCCAAACAAAAAGTAGGACTTTCATAATAACCTACATTTAGTTACATGATTAATCCCTTCCAATTTTAATCCCCTATGTCTCTAGCCACTACCTGGAATTAGAAATTTATAATTTCCTTGCTCTCACTTTTATGTTTTTAATTAATCCGCACATATTCTACAACAGTAAATCACTATAACTATCACTTTAACGATAGCGGTCGGGTCCGCTCCCCCAACTGATGAGTACTTGGACTGCTCCTAGCTCTTTGCATTGTGAACAGTGCTACATCCCACTTGTCCTACAGGCATTCTGGTACACCTGTGCCCAATTTCTGTTGAGAAAACTCCTAGAAATAGAATGTTAGGCTACAGGGCAAGCTCAGCTTCGGGAGATGTGGTCTAGTTTGTCAAAACATTTCACCAATTTATAAAGATGCTATAATTGGTGAATGAGATGCTGCACAACCTCTGCAAGAGCTGGCATTACCAGATGTTTTAACACTTGCCCGTCAGTTAGTTGGAAACAGAACTTCATTTCTCTGGTTATTAATGAGACAGAGATTCTGCTCATATGTACATGTTTTCCTTTTCAGTGAAAAGCCTATTCATTCCACTCATCCATGTTTCTACTGAATTATTTTCTTTTCCTCTCATTGATTTGTAGCTCTTTTCTTGGGGGTTAGGGGAGGAGTGTAACAGCATTCAGACTCAGGCCTTTGTGCTTGCCAGGCAGGTGCTCTGCCACTAAGCTATTCCCCCCAGCCCCTGATTTATAGTTGTTGATACTAAGCATTTAGAAGTTTGTGTGTATTAATATCTGTTCTCATTCTGTAACTCAGTTTTCACTTTCTTCAAGCTTCTTTGCTCTACTTATGTTCTTAATATGTAGTCAACACTTTTTCTTGAATAGCACTGCTTTGCATGTTTAAGAAAATTTTCTCTAAGGTATGAAAGGCACACAACTTCTGGGTTTATTTTTTAAAAATTTCAAGTTTTTACCCTATCTAAAATGGACTCCTACGCATGGTGTGAAACCTGAAACAGTATAATCTTTAAAATATTTTTTAACCTGCATTGGCAATTTCACATACAAGGATAGATTTTAGTTGGCAAAACTACATGAACATGTCTATGAAAAGAAAATTTATTGCAAGTGTCCCGTTTTTACAGAACTCATGACTTTAAGCAGGTTAGAATGACTGTTGATACTGGTCGGGTTCCAGTTTCTAAGGCCCTCGGGGTCCCTTCTGGGGTTCACTGCTGCAGTGTTTATCAGGCTTGCTCTTTGCTCTAGTTAAGGTCCAGCCACTGCACTACACATCATATAAACTGGATTATCTAGGCACATTGTGTTTTTATTTTAGGAAGGGTCTACAGGGCCTCACGACGTGGACTGGACTCACAGTGATCCGCCTGTGTTCAGCCTCCCAAGAGCTGGGATTACTGCGCACACCACCAAGTCCAGTCTCAAACGCCGTCTCAGCATGCCCCCCGGGGCGGGCTGGGGCCAGCAGGGCGCCCTGGGGATGGAACCTGGCTCGTTTTTTTTTTTTTTTTCTTTAATACCAGCTGGATTAAGCTTCAAAGATCTCACTCTTATTCTTAGCTCCACATTCAATAGTGAGAATACTTTGCTTTTCCTTTAAACTTCATTATTTAAGGAATCTTGTATTTTCAATTACATCTCTTAAAAAGAAGTCTCCCTTTTGCTGAAATTTTTAAAAATGAAAACATGAAATTCTTTGTTCTACTATCAAAACCAAAACTGAAAAGAATATTAAATCAAAATAGATCCTGAATTCCTTACAGCCCGTTCCAAAAAACAAATTTTTATCAAGTGCTAGACAAAAATGTAATAACCATGAGTAAACAATCCTATAAAATGTAGCAAAGTGGCGGCCAACGATGCTACTAGAGTGCCTTAAAGGCAGAAATGCTAGATGGACAGTCCTCAATGGGTTGGAAACAACCGAGGTTAGATGCTGTTCTCAAAACACTAACATACGCCAATTTCTTCCAGTTAATCAATTACCATCTGCTAGCAGAGCCAAAGACTGAATGATGAAGATAATTTACACTAAATTACTTTGCAGAGACTAATAACTAACCCATTTGTGTGAAACCAATGGCCCAGAGAAATTCTGTCTTGGGAATTAACAGAAGTTTTTCCCGATCTCATGCAATGGCCCCATTTAGATTTGGTCAAGATCCTTGTTATTTCTTCTTATTGCTACCTGTACCTGTAATTTGTTTAACATTTTTCTCCTGTGTAAGACCCTAAGCCATGTAAGGGCAAAGACTTGTCTTGCTTGAAATTTCAATACTAGTAGTATTCTAGGACAACATTTGGCACATTAGTAATGGCTTAACAAATACTTAATGATTAACGGGATGATGTTTATGACCTAAGAGTCACAGGTGTAGGCTGTAGTGGTACACACCTGTCATCCCACCACTCGGGAGGCTGAGGCAGGAGGAGGTCAGCCTGGGCTACACAGTGAGCTCAAGGCCAGGGTGGATTACACACAGCAAGACCCTATCTTAAAAAAAACAAAAAATAAAAAACAAAGGAAAATAAAATTTATAAAATATTTTTAAAAAGAACCATAGGCAACCGGAACTTAAGCCAACCAAGGAATACTAACCAAAAAGAACATGTCAGTGTATAATACTCTTAAGAGCTTCAAAACTGAAGCACAATTGGAGAAAATACTTGGAAATATTAACATAAGCATTAGACAACTAATTTTTTCAGATTTTTAAAAATGTTTTTCGCATGCCCCATCATGCCTACTTTGACTTTTAAGATGTTTAAAGCATTCTCTGCAAAGAATGTTTAAAGCATTCTCTGCCATCCCACAATGAACAGGGTGATAAAAAGGCTGTACTGTCAGTTCGTGTGGCCATTAGCTGTGTTACTGACGTACGCAGCCTACGGGTTTAGAAAGCAGAAATAGTACTAAAATCCTGCTCAGTTTTCAGAGGCAAAAAATATAATACTTGTTCAATCTGAACAGCTAATGAAATTAATAGAAACCAGATCAATATGTGAAAATAAAAGCCTGGTTGGTGTAGAAACGGCAAGCAAAATAAATGTTTAAAAAACTACACACAGGAATATGTCTGGGTATGCAAATAGATGATTTACAGCTCAATTATGTCACAAACTCCTAAACAATCAGACATTAATTCTAAAACTTTTTGGTCTTAGGACCCTTTCTAGACCCTAAGGACCTTTTATCATTTATACTTACAATATTTATCATGTTAAAATAAAAATAGAAATTAAAGACTTTCCTTATTTAGAAGCAATAAAATGCTTATTATGGAAATATAACTTCTATGAAAAACATTAGGTAGATCTACAGGAGATCTATGCTCTTAACTCTTTACAAATCTCTAATTTCTGCTAGACCCTCCTATCTGTTCCATATTTAATCCACTGCAATATCATATGTTAAGTAGTCTCTGGAAAACTTTATCTAACTGTGAGAGAGGGAGAATGAAAAGGAAAAAATAGGTTCTGACAAAATTATGAAGAGTTTGACTTCATAGGACCCCTGCAAAAGAATTAGATCATCTAATTAGACTAGACTGGGGTCTGGTAAGGCATGCTGCAATCCCAGAACCTGGGAGGCTGAGGCAGGAGGATCATGGTGAGTTGAAGACCAGCCCGGGCTACAAAATGAACTGAAGGTCAGCCTGAACTGCAGAGCAAGGCCTTGTCCCAAAAAGACAAAAAGGAATGTCCTAATTAGACTAGACTTTTGAGAAGCTCTGTTATCACTGGGAAAGCAAAATAAGCAGGAGTTCATTGATGGGGGCTGTTTCTGTGCTATGAACGCTTACACGGCCACGCCAACATTTAGGTAGGAAGTTTCCCTTTACCTAATAAGACAATGGTAAGTAGAAAAGACAAGAAAGAAAAAGACAACAAGTAGGACCTCAGCCAATCACAAAGAGCAAATGGCTACTTGTTTTCTACTTTATTTATTTTGTGGGGTTTTTTGGTGGAACCAGGGATTGAGCTCAAGCCCTTGTGCTTGCCAGGCAAGTGCGCAAATGCCTACTTGTAAGCCTATCAAGTAAATTACTTTGCTCGTGCTTTCAGCCAAAGCCTGCTGATCAAAAGGACAGAGCAAAGCTCTCCACACCCCTTCTGATTTTGACTACTGCCTGAATCATTCTTTCCTCAATGAACTCTGTTAAATTTATTTTGTATATTTTTAACATCACTCTGAAGCATCCTGCACTACAGATGTAAGATCAAATTTCAACCTCAATCATCACAGACTGGGGCACATACATGGAAAGTCGGAAAATCTTTTGATTATTAATTACTCAAGGGAACTGAAGGGCAGAGGTACTGGGCTTTGTTTCCTGATCTGGTTAGGGAGCTGAAGGCCGTGCGGCCTTGGTGTCCACTGCATGCACACAACTCCCAGACCACTGTTTGGAAGAGCTGTCTCAAACTGGCTCACTACCTGACATCTGAAGGCAGTGTGGTTCCCTTGAGTTTCCAGGAGGGGTACTCTATTTATGTCTGTATAGTCATGTCTAGAATATGATTTTACAGGAATGTGTCTAATGTTTCCCAAAGCAAATGGAAACACATTTCTATAAAATTTCACTTTCTTCATCAAGGTCCTCTACCAGTATAAAGGCCAATGCTTTGTATGTTGAATTTATATTCTATCCTATAAGGTACACATCTTCTAGAGACACCTTTTCAGAAAGTCTAGACTCTTATTTTTCAGAAAATATACACATATTCATTTTAATACTGACTTCAACTAGTAATTAAGTGAAACATTGCCTCTTTTTTTTTAAAAAAAAGTTATCCAGATTATCTGTACTTTTCATGGAAAAAATGAAGGTGTTATGTAATTACATATGTGCAGATGGAACAAAACAGACATTCATGCAGAGACAGAGATAGTAATAACTGTGCAGTTCTTTGTAAATATAAAATATAAGACAAAACCCACTAAAATTAAAACAGAACAAAGCAAACCAGTCCTTCAGTAACTTCTCTGAAGTTGGCTGGGTAAGTGGTTTGAAGATGGTGACAGAGAAGGGAGAAACTCTGGGGGGTTACATGGAAGGCTCTTCCTCAATAGCTATGCCAATGGGCAAGCCACTGCGGGGAACCAGTTTACCTCCTGTAAAGGGGTCACACCAGATGAGCAACTTGGGGAACACAGGAATCAACTCAGACATTTTCAAAGAAAGATTCCTGAGTCCTTCCCTGAGAGGCTCTGGTTCAGCTCTGATATGGGGCTGGTGAAGTCTACACATGCAACTGTAGTGATTTAATGCTGACTGACTGTGAGCTCCTCTTTGGAAAATTGTGATCAAAATCAAAAATCCTCCCAAAGACAAAGTACTGCTGAGAGATCAGAAGCCCATAGTTCTCAAAGTGTGGGTGAAAATCCTTGAGGTCTCAAGATATCACATGGAGGTTTGAAAAGTGAACATTATTTTCATGACAACACTAAGACACTGTTTGCCTTTTCTGCTCTGTTGGCATTAAAAGCAGCAGCTGAGGAAAAGGGCCAATGCCTGGCCAAGAGCATGCAGCTCGAGGTGGGGTGCAAATGGCAACAGCAGTGACTGGATCTGTAGCAGTCAAAATCTTACAGGAAAAAGCCATTTAAGGCTGTCTTTGATAGGGGCCAGGGAGATGGCTCAGTAGAATAAGTGCTTGCTTGGCAAGCACAAGGGCCTGAGTTCAAACTCCGGTTTTGCCCCCCCACCCAAAAAAAGGATGCCTTTGATGAAGAGGCCAATCAACTTTTGAGAATATATCTTTCTACTATTAATGTGCAGCAAAAAGATAAGGACCTATAAATCACTTCTGCATACTGAGGTGTCTTGAGGAAAAGCACCATGTGGTTACCTGAGGTGAAAGCCAACTTCCTCTCACGAAGTACCATTTTCACTTCAAAGACTGCCAGACAAATGATAGTTATTTAGCATGCATTGTTTTCTCAAAAAACAGTAAATGATCTTGTCATTTCAAGAAGAGTAACAGGATTTGTTGCCAATGATAAAACTTGGCCTCAAGTCTATACAAGCGTGTGCATGTATTTGTATGCATGCCCATTTCTGGATTGGGTCCAGAAATTAAGTTTTGGGGCCCTAATGGTTTTTAGTTCTTTATAAATTCTAGAGAGCAGACCATGTATATGCACACACATAGATATATAATGAGTGTGTCTGTATAATTTTGGAAAATTTATATAATCACTAGATGCTAGTTAATCTTTAGGATTGAAAAACTTTTCTAATGAAATTGATACTGATATTAACAAATATAATTTTTCTTTCATTGGGTAATGAAATGTGTCAGTATTCGGAAGAGCTAACATATATTCTAAAGGTCTATTTATCACATTATAAAGTAGTGCTACAAATTCCTGCTATAATCTTTTCAAAGTGCAGCACAAAAATGATACATTTTAGTAAAGAATACAAAATTGTATGGTTATGTTTCGAGATTCCACATTACAAGTAAATTTCAGAAATTATCATTCATCAAATTCTAATGCAATATCCAAAAAAGCATCTGCAGTTACTTGAAAAGGCTATTAAAATACTCTTCCATTTTAATCATATTTTAGAATTACTTTTAAACTTTAAAAATACAAAACAGTGCTATTCTCCTTAAATGAAAAAAGTATTTGAGACAAAAGGATGAACTTTAAATACTAATAATGTTCTTCTATATAATAAATATTGATAAATACAAACAAAATCTCTTTGAGGTCCTCAGGAATGCAAAGGAGATCTGGGACCAAAAAATTTGAGATTTACTAGCAATGTGTAAACCACGAGGTGAGCACGCATTAAAATACGGAGAATGCAATCATAGGATGGAGAGTTTAGTCACTACACTGGCAGAAAAATATGCGCCAGGTAATTCTCATACAGCCAGGCTTAGAAACATTGAAACTATCACTCAATTCGATGGTGCTTTGGAAAAGCTGTTCATTGGTGACCCCTAGTGGCAAATGTGCTTTCTTAAAAAAACAAAACCAAAATAAAATGAGCTAGTATTGAGCCGATACAGCATTTCAATTTTCTAAAGGACTCCAAGGATCACTTTATGAATGGAGCCCCATAACACCAAGACACCATTACAAAACAATGTAATACAGGTGATGCTATGCTTTGGATAGGTTCAGAGGATGAAAAAGTGCACAAAAGGCACCTAGTCCAGAAAGATAAAAGACAGGACAGGGGGACAAGAGTACTCCAGTCAAAGAAAGGCAAAAGCTCAAAGAAAACTCAAAGGTAGAACAGACCATGACTTGCTCAAGATTGAACAGAGTAGCAGATACCAATTTTAGGAGAAGCCTGAGGAGTACCAGACGATACGCTAAGCTCATTGCCTTATTTTCCTCCATGCTCTCAACGCTGGAGATGTTACCTATCTACCAACTATACACTGTAATGCATAGAAGCCACTTAAGTATCATTTTTTTCTCTAAAGTGCTTTTAAAATCAGCCACTTTTGCTTAAGATTATTAGTTGTTTGAAGAATTTAAAACTAGAAAAGCTGCCAGGCATGTTGGCACACACCTGCAATCCTAGCATTTGAGAGGTAGGCTAAGGCAGGACGACTGCCATGAGTTCGAGTTATCCTGGACTACAAAACAACACAGTATCAAAAAAAAAAAGGAAGAAGTAGAAAAGCTACATTTTAAAAAAAAGATTTATTAAAAAATAAAATGGGTCAGATGTTTTTAAGACCTTCAGATAAGCTGGGAAGAAATAAAACTTCTAAATTAAACTCAATTTTAATTATAAACATATTTAAAACCTTGTAAATACCTTTCCCTTTTCCTAATTTCTAATTTTGGAATATAACCACACATGGAAGCCTAACAATTAAAGTAGGCAGAGTAGAAGTCTGAAGTCAGACATGCATCTGAACACTGGCCTCACCCATATTAACAGTGACTGACACATTACTTAACTTGAGGCATTGTTTGTACAAAGCTGGGACAGTATCACCTGCCTGGATTGTTATGAAGACACATGAGAACACCTGTATGTACACAAATTAGGCAGCAGGTGTGTCAGGCCCCTTTCCTGGTTCATCTATCTTTAATGTGTCTGATGGGCCTAACAGTTGGCCTTACTTTCTTTGATGCTGTTTCTGCAGCGCTGCCTCGGATAACTGGCCCTGAAGGATTAGCTTTCTTTGCTTATCAATGTCTCCTTCCATTCGAGCAAAAGCATGAGAGCCAATGAAAGACAGGTCCACTCCCAAGCCTTCATCCTCTTCTTCTTGGTTGTCTGTAACAAAAATACCACTATTAACAGAGAGCTTATGACAAAATGAGGCTGTAAATGACATGGACTGTGAGTGCCACAGAGAAATGGTGTGAGCTAAGAAACTGGGATCATGGTTATACTTTGGGAATGAAGAAATACGATTTATGCATTTGTAATCGTGAAATCACACCATGGTCACCTGGGTGTAAACTTCAGAAAGAAAGAATACAATGGGATCACCTACAAAAAGACAGAAAAAAGTGGACTGTCTTTTGGTTTAAACATGGCTCATGAGCATCTGAGACCACCTACACAGCACTATTTAAAGAGGGCGCATCTGGAGAACTGGACAGAAGCCCAGGCCCTTGGTCAGGTAATGAGCTCTGAACCCAGGCGGGACAGGATCACAGGCGACGACACAGCTACAGGATCCATCAACTGGAACTCAGCATCCTGGCTTTCTACCCTTGTCACACTAATCGTTTTGGTCCATAATTGTTCTCATGTTGGATTAGGAAGTAAACTTTCTGATCCACCCATGTAATTCTTATGAGTTTGGGTAGTAGAAAACTACTCCCTTAGAAACTGAGCATCCCTCAGTGGATGCCTTACTAGGGCTGGTAACTACAAAAACAGAAACAGAAAAACAAAATTTGGAACATGAAGAATTTCCCAAGGCAGTGCAATCACATGACTCCCAGTCGCATGGGCCATCAGCAGGGATTTCTTTACATCTGTTCCACTGGCACCCAAATTATGACAAGTCAACAACTTTAAAAGACTTGGTTTCTCTTAACGTTGTCCATGAGTGAGTCTTTAACAAAAACAAGTATGTATGTATGTATATGTGTGTGTCCAGATTTAACATTCTAATTGAAAATATTTATGAACACTGGGGCCTACTTTCTGAGCTACAAAGGCAAATCATCCTCACAGGAAAGGGAACCTATGCCCAGATGTGCTGCTTCAAATTGGTGCTGCTCTTCCCAAGTCTTTATTCTCACGGAACGTATCTCATAGAGGAAAAATGATATGCCCTGGTGGCTGTCACAAGTGTGAGGACTGGTAGGTAAATGATGCTGGCATTATTTCCATGACCTACCTCACTGGAGCCCCCCAGAGTGTGTGGCGAGCTGTCCAGCAAAGCCTGGCAAGACATGTCCATCCAAGATCATTTATAATTCCCTCCACTTGACCTAAGCCTCCTGCAGTGATAAGGGAGTGCAGTAACCTACAGCTTTTAAACTGGAGTGCACCTTGAACAGAAGTATTTACAGCAGGAATCTCACAGCAATTCCTAAGCTGCCGCACACTGCAGGTCTCAGAACTGAGCAAATAAGCCATGCCCGCACAGAAGGCATTCATGACTTTATATATTTTTTTATGTGTGAAGACCAGTAGAAGCTTTCATGCAGGATAGACTCAAAACAGCTTTCATTTTAACATGCTGTAGTATAAAATACAAAGAAATAAAGTTAATGTGCATAGGATTCTTGGTTTAGTATTTAATATTAACACGTCTTTTAGAGGGCACTGTTGCAAGTATTTAAAACTTTAGATGACAATTCGCTTGATTTGTCTCAACAATGTCCTGCTTGATAAAAACTTCGTTACACTTCAAATGTTATATCCACCTCGGAACCTCCACTGCCTAACACAGACTTGATGTAACAGCTGTCTACCTGTCCACCTACCTACCTACTTCGACATAACTATTTTTGAATTTGGAAAATAAATCTCAATAAGACTAGGATTCTGAAAACATCTAAAGTGCTCTTGCTTTTAGAGTCATGCTGATGGAGACATTTCTGCAGGTCAAGCTAAGCTTCCTGTGCCTGTGATGGCTAATGTTTCCTCAGTACCTTATCCTGCACTAACAGGAAAGGCAGAGCGCTAGGACTCACCCTCTGGAGCACCAGGCTTTTCACTTATTCTGATCTGCCGTTCAGGCACCACAGGCTCCCCCTCCGCATTTCCAATATCTGCAGGTAGATAGGGTAATGATCGACTCTCCTCCTTTAACGTCCTTGGGAAGTACAGAGGTAGCAGCTTTTGGTAAGTAGCCTGTGTCAGAAAAGCAAGGCATTCTGTGAAGAATAATGAAGTAATGAAGCAGCTTGAACAGCGCCCGTGCTGAGAAGACAGCGGCCATCCGGTCACACTGCTTGCTCTCCCGGGCCCTTTCTCGCCGGGTGTTAAGATCAGGACACTGCGAGCTGGACAGGGTGTTCATTCTGGCAATTCCAAGGAGCTGGACCCAGAACTCATTAAGTTCAGCTCCACCATTCCTGACCACAACCTCTTTCACTTACTAGACTAAATGAAACCCCCTTCACTATTAGAGAGGTCTGTCTTAAAACCCAGGTTGGATGCTATTTCCTTAACCTTACTGCATATTCAGGCTCCATTAACCCAGATTCAGATTTTTTTCTTTTTTAACATTCTATTGTAAAGGACTATTTCAAGTGCTTTCTTAGATTTTCAAAGAACAAAGTTAAATTTCATTCTAAAAAAGAAACTCATTCTTTAAAATCCACTCAAGTTTGTCCACTGCACTGCCTGTATAAATCCATAGTAGACAACAGGCATTTGGTTTTATTTTTCCTAAATCATGAGACATGTGGCTTTTTCACCATGCTAGAGATTATTTTATCATTATTCAGTATTATTCCAAACTATCATAAGAAAAGATGAAATTAAAATAGCAAGAAAACAAAAGAACAATGGGATCATACAGGACAAAGAAATCATTCAAGGACTCATTATCCTTCAGGGTTCTGCGCTGCGTATGGGATTGCATTATCTTCCACGTAGGGAAGACCGGAGATACCAATTCTATATTCTTTTCAAGAAAGAAGCTAAAGTATAATTCACATGACATAAAATTAACCCCTTGAAAGTAGTATATAATTCAGTAGTTACTATATTCACAAGGTTATACAATCATGACCACTATCAAATTTCAGAATATTGTCATTATCCATTAGCTCTCATTTCCTCTATCTCCTCTCCTTCCTCCAACCCAACAACTACTAATTTGTCTGTCTCTAGGGACTTACCTATTTTGCACATTTATACAAAAATGGGATAAAATATGCGGGCTTTTCTGTCTAGTTTGTATCATTTAGCATAATGCCTTCAAGGTTCATTGTAGCATGTTTTCATTTTTATAGTTGAGTAATACCTTATTATATGCATAAACTGATTTTGTTCATTAATCCAACATTTGAGCTGTTTCTGCTTTTTGGCTATAATGAATCATATTGCTATAAACATCTGCGTGCAAGTCTTTGTGTGGACATGAGGGTTTCTACTCTATATATACCATTAGAGCAGATCTGCTACATTAGATGGCAACTATGTTTAACTTTCTCAGGAAATTGTAGACTTTTTCAAAGCAGCTGTACCATTTTTACAGTCTCACCATGTCTGAGGTTTCCAATTTCTACATATCTTTGCCAACACTTGTTATCTGTCTTGGTAATTACAGCCATTCCAGGGAGCAAGAAGTGGTATATCACTGTGGTTTTGACTTGCGTTTCCATAATGGTTAATGTCTCAGAGCACCTTTTCATTGCTGACTGTTCATTTATATATCTTCTTTGGAGAAAGGTATATTAACCTTTTTTGCCCCTCATTTTCTCTATTTTATGGTCCTTTCACTTCTGGAAAAGCTTGCTGGCCAGACTGCCTCTGCCAGGGCCAGCTAATTCCTAAAGGTAGTAAAAACCTACTGGAGGTATAGTTTATGTGTGCAAATCAATCAATTCTATCCCTATTTTTCCTTCCCTAATTTACCAAAGTGCTGAGAGGTTATACAACTTCTTAAGGATATAGCACTGAGAAATAATAGAAGCTGAATTGCACAGAGCAGTCTCAGGCTAAGAAAGACTTAGTGAGGGCTGGGGAGATAGCTCAGCAGCCTAAGCACCTGCCTGGCCAGTGCAAAGATCCGAGTTCGATCCCCAGTACCATATGCCATGCTGGCCCCGGAACCACAGGCACACCGTGCTGGCCCTGAAACCAAGTGTGGTGGTGCATGTCTACAATCCCAGTGCTAGGAAGGCTGAGGCAGGAGGACCACTATGAGTCTGAACTGCATGTGGGAACCTGTGTCAAATAAAAAAATAAATAAATAAAATAAAAGCTTAGTAAGATTAAAATCTGATTTTGTAAAATGGCTCTGAATTAAGCTGAAACCAACTGAAGCTAACCCTAAAGAATAAAGCATGCAAACCTTGGCACTTCTCGGCATTAGCACTCAGCCCACTCTCCCGTTTCTAGGCCAGGAAGCCGGCAGAGCTCCCCCCGCAAGCAGGGGTTTTCCACCTAAGTGGCCCAGACACTAGGCACTCAGCTTACAAGGTAAGGGCAGCAAAGCGGAGCAGCTCCACAGGGTAAGAAGGCACTGGACAAAGGCAAGAGTCAGGCAGCAGAGCAACAGGAGTAAGAGGCTCCTGCTGACTTAGTTTCCAACACAGTTTTTCTCAATGAATGATAGACAGCAGGTGCCCTAGCCAAGTAAACACACAGATAATCAGGACATGTCTGCTGGACCGTGAGCAAGCAGATAATGGCAAGACACGGCAAACAGTGAGAGTAAGGTTTAAATGACGCAGAATAATTAACAAAATACCTCTTCAAGCTCAGAGACAGCAAATACTACTTTTTCAATGGTTTCCCCATGAATCTCTAGGAATCTCCTTACAGTACCTAAAGAAGAAAACAGAATGATTACACAATAAGAAATTGCTTATGCGTAAAGAATTCTGTAATGCGTTACTTCTCATTTCATCCAAGTCCACGTGCAGGGATCCCTTGTCAGAGAAACCCCCGATCCCCGAGACTATGCTTATGACAGCTCTTCTCTGATTTATTTTGCTCCACAGCAAGTCTCTTCACAAAGCCAAATATGGATTAATCTGCTTAATTGCTATATTATCCTGATTTTTTTCTATCAACTTTCTAATAATAAGGACCTTTTGTAGTTCTTAAATTACTGCAATTTCTCAGTCCTTTATAATGTCCATGCCCTCATCCTTTTAAAATATCACACGTGGTTTGTCAGCAGTGTTTATGTTCTCTACACATCTATATAATCTTAGCTCACTAATTTGCACAAATGCTGATAGGTTCAAAACTGTTACATTCTATCGCCTAAGAAAAACATCCGAATTACCTGCTCCCTACTGGACATGGCATCACAGACAACATACAGATCTCACCCTAAACCCGTCCAAGCCTGACCCCAACAGGCCCAAATCCTACCCTCCAGCGTCTCTCCTCAGTTCCTTACCTTAGTTACATGTCAACAACCTGACCAGAAGCTGGAATCCTGAATTTGCCTTCACCTCTCCCTTCACATGGTCCCCTCGATGTTTTAAATTAATTGCTAACATTTCTAACATCTATTTCTTTTCTCAGCTTCATTCATGTTCTCAATGCACACTGTCTTTTCACAATGAGCGATTAAATCTTGTCTTCCACTTCCATTTTTACATATTTACTGTTGCTTGAGCTATGTTCTTACATATTAAACATCTCTGATAGCTCTATACTGTGTAAAGGTGAAGATTTAAAGCTGCTAAATGACAGCCCAGAGGCTGACCCCAACTAACCACCTCTCCCTACGCTCCATGTGGCCCATTTCCAGTCATCCTCCTACATAGCTTGAGATCTAGCTAAATCTACTGTGCTCCTACACCAAAACAAGCCACTTGCTCTGATGCTGAGCTGCCTGTTGGTACTGCTGACCTGACTGCATGCCTTCCATCTCCATTCTCTACTCACACCATCAAGAGTCTCATCCTTTGGTGGAAACTGTGCTCTTCCCTGTGCTGCTCCTACCAGGCTGATTCTCAACTTGTGACAGTGAAGTCTGATTCATGACTCTTGGAAGGTAACCCCACCTTAATTTGAGTAGCCTATGTTTTTTGAACCTTCTTCTACATGTGAACTTCTCACAGCATTTTATAGCTTTCTGAAAGCCAAATATATCTACCATTAAAATTGCATTAAGTAAGGCCTAGTATAACTTAGAGATATGACATACACTCACTCAAAACTAACTAATAACTGAACTAACAATTTAAAGCTCTGCTTATATACTGATTTACTTGGTTAATCTTGTATTCCAAGAATCTACTAGATCACACCCATTTGTTGAAAGAACTCATAATTCTCCTTTCTTAGGTGATACACTTACTTTTCACTTTTCCCTCTATTCTACCGTGATTTTTTTCTTAAAGAATGAACTTTTAGGACAGGAATTTTTTTTAGCTTATATTCATTCACACTAAGTCTTAATGCTCACACATTAACAGTTTCTCAGCGTGACTGTGGTATTTCCCTTAGAAGATAAAGTACAATACCAAACAGTAACCAAACTGAACTCCTTTAATAGAGCGTATTTTAAAAAGCTGTATAAGAGGAAACAGTGCATCACTCTCATGTATAGTGCTAAGAGTAAGTTCACAAGATTCCTTTAAAGTTTTATATGTGCATGAGTCTTTACAAGCAGTCAGAATGGCATGTGCTTAAAAAGTACGGAATGCCCTCGAACTGGTACGAATGACATATGAGATGTTAGAGTCTCCAACAGGGAAACAGTAAGAACCAACACCTTCGTCTTACCATCACAACCTCTTGTATAAAGCACTGAGATTAGCACATAGAGTTACGCAAATTTTTGCTGAATGAACGATCTGCTAAATTTATTTCAATGTGGATTTTTCTTTAAGCATTTCATAATCATGGGACTATAATCCCAGTATTGGGGAGGCTGCAAACAGGAGGACCACTATGAATCCGAGCTGCATAGTGAGACTCTGTACCAAATACATAAATAATAAATACATAAGTAAATAAGAAAAAAAAGATAAAAAGTCTTGATAATGTTACCAGGTTTTAAATGAAACAGAGTAGATTTTTCTGTTATTGGGCTTTTTTTTATGTTACCAGAGATTGAACTCAGGACTTTGGGCTTGGCAGGCAGGTGCTTATGCCACTGAGCTATCTCCCTGGCCTGAAATAGAGCAAATTTTGCTAACAGGATAAAAAGAAAGCTTTTGACACGAAAGATTTTTATTTATAATACTATATTCGAACACAAAAGGGTACAAGTCATTTGTTTTCTAAATGTTTAAAAGTATTCAAGCAGAGGGTATCATTGTAGGGAGAGGGGTCTGTATATGACAGGTAAAAATAAACTAAGGGCCTCATTAGCTTTCTAGCCAACCCTGACTAGAAGGAATTAAAACTTTACTAGAGAAAATTTCCCTCAGAGGGAAGAAAATTTCCAAGGAGAGGGAAGAAAAAGAGAAATACCAGATGAAGAACACGAGATGGCACAGGGAGACACTAGCGACTTAGCAGAGAGGGAGCTGACAGGCAGAGCACAGAGCGAGAGTAGCCAAGGACATGGAGCTGAGCAACTGAGCCAGCTGTCCCTCTGCACCTCCAGCAGAAGGCAGGGGAAATGGGGGCCGGCTTACTAACTCAGAGGAAAGCTCTTATTCAATATACATATGTACAGATGTGCAACTTGGCATACACACACACACCAATACATAACCCTGTAACATATATATATATATATATATATATATATATATATATATATATGTAAAGAAATTTAAAGATCATTTAATATAGTTTCCCTCCCAAATAACGGCTGTTTTCCATACATCAGTGGCCACGGAACCTCTTTGTGAATGTTTCTAGTGACAGTAAGTTCACTAAAATACTATATACACATATACTACACTTACATGTATATACACACACATACTCACATACATAATATGACTATATTATCCACTCTAGGGTCATGATGCTACAGTAGATCCCACACAGCCCCTCCCTAACTCTGAGCTAAGCATAAATAAGGTGCCCCCTGGCCAACCAGCTGTCCACTCCAGAGCCAAGGCTCTGTCAAGTACAAATAAAACAGGCCACCAAAAGAAATGATATTACTTAGGAGTGCCCAGAAAATCCAATCAAATGATAATAAGAACCATGTAAGAGGAAGGGACTCTGACCTCCTATAAAAGCAGCTGGGAACAAAACCCACGGGTCCTCCCTCCATCTTTCTGGAGTCCCCTAAGCTAACCATCAGGGTAGCTAACTGTCTTCTCCTTTCTTTTCCTCTCTACAATTAAAATGTCTTCCTTTCCTTAAGCTTTGTCCCTCTAGTTCTGCACTGGTGTTGAGTTTATGATCTTGTGAGTTACCTGTCCCAGCAGAGCAGAAGGGTGTACTTGCCCCCACTCCACACCTCAAGAGACACTACTGTTACTTTTTTTGTCATTGCATTCAAAAATGGGATGTTATAATTTTACTGTAGATTAAAGGTGTAATAAATCAATTGGAACTTGACCAATATCAGCTAACTTGCCCAATTACTGAGCTATACATTTTTTTCCTGCCAATTAAGTGCCTAGAAACTGCTTCATCATAGTCTTCAACTGATTTGTCTGGGACCAGAGCTAGAGTTAGAATGGTAAAATTGGAACTAAAAATTAATCTTTTGACGCCTGATTCAGAGCCTTTTCTACAAAATGCTACTTCTTTAAATTCTAAGGCTGACAAGGTGAGGTTTAAGTCCACTGAGAGGATGTCAAGCTGCACTTATTCTACTGAGCTATCTCCCCAGCCCCCATGGCCAAAGGAATGGTATCCTGGCAGAAATTTTACATTTCTAAGAAATCCTTTACAAGGCACTCAGGTTGTAACACAATAACATCCCAATGAAATAGTTTTAACTCAAAATAATAAATTATCTAGTAAGTCAAATAGGTGACTAGCCTTGGGAGTCAGTAGGCTGCATATATGTGCTGTGTAGCTCTAAGAACATGATAAATATCTGTTTCTTTATTTGTACAATGGACACCACAATATCTAAAATACAGAGTTGAGAAAATTAAATGGAATTCATTTGCTCCTTTTAAAACACATATTGGGGGGCCAGGGAGATAGCTCAGTAGAATAAGGGCTTGCCTGGCAAGCACAAGGTCCTGAGTTCAATCCCCAGTATCATATTGGAGTAATACCATATGTTAAGCATTCTGACACATTTCTCAAGGAATATATATTGTATACACAAAGATGTATAAGCACTGAAAATAAAAAGACAAACAAATGAGATTCCTGCCCTTCAACAACATCAGCCTAATACAGTGCGTATGAACTGTAACTATGAAGCATACAGACTTACAATGAAATCTTTGACCAGTGAAGGATTTTAGTTACTAAAATAAACCTTTATTTTTTTGTAGTACTAAGGACAGACCCAAAGGCCTTTGCATTGAGTTGTATTATCAGCCCTTTTCTTATTTTTTGAGACAGGGTCTGATTAAGTTGTTAACGTTGCTCAGGCTGTGTTTAATTACATGTATACACTACTTGTCTGGCCAAATATGACTTTCAAGACTGAAAATAATTCTATATATTCTAATATTTCTTTAATTTTTAGTTGACAGAAGACTCTCAGCTCATCTTTAAACTCCAGAGAGAGAAAGGAAATTTAAAGATCGTTTAATATAGTTTCCCTCCCAAATAACGGCTGTTTTCCATACATCAGTGGCCATGGAACCTCTTTGTGAATGTTTCTAGTGACAGTAAGTTCACTAAAATACTATTTTGTTACAGCCCCTTCTACCTCAAATAACAATAAAATCTTCCTTGCAATTAATTGAGTTTTAGAGTTTGCCCTCTACTGCTGGAATTATCACTTACAACCCTTATAAGGACCTGCAAACTTCCTAAACTTGCATGCAATGTCTCTATTTATAAACAACTTTCTAGACAAAAGCCCACGGTCAATGTAGTATATGATAGTACCCTTCTCTGAGAACTGATCCTCTAACAGAGCAAGTCCACTTTGAGACCTCACCAGGCATTTGAATATAGGCATCTTCTGTTCTTCATGAAGGTAGTACCACTGATCTTGCAAGCTGTTCGCCCTTTACGTTGTCTCATGAGCTATAATATCCAAACTATACCCAAAACTCCAGATGAGTTTTGAGTCTGCATATAATACAGTGAGATCATGCCTCTCACCAGAGATCTGAACACTAATGCTTCTTCTGTTTTCATTCTGAGGATTGTACCCAGACCTACACGCACACTCTCCCCGTGCAACACACGCTCTTACCCAATATTGTATCTGGCCATCACATAGAGATATTTTTAGTCCTCTCAATTGTGTTCAGTCCTTTTTAAACCCAAATGCATGGTTTAATATTCAAATAGTACACTAAAAGCTACTGTTTACATCTTAAGGTGCTATACAAAAATGATATTATGAATCTGCTTGACTGCATGGCTGCAGTCAAGTTACCCAGTGTACTGGCCACACTTTCTAGTATGGTGTCACTTTTACACTTAATAAGTAAGTCTCTTAAGCCTGTATTCAAATGGATAAAAATATTAACTTGAGAAAGCAAATTGAGAGTTCCAGAACCTATCAATACATTTCTTTGTACCATGTCACGGTCATTTAGTCAAGTTTTCTTTGGCTGTGACTATTTAGTGATAAAAAGAATTGCTTTTCAGATTTCAAGACGCGCTTTATGTACCATATCTCCAGCATAACTTACGAAGTGCTATGTGTGTTGCATCCTCTAAGGGGTAACCTCGCTTTGCTGAATTGATGACACAGAATCCAACAGAAGACATCGACTGCTCTCTGCAACCAGCAGAAGACACAGATTATATTGCAAACATTTATAATACGTATAGAATAATAGATCACTAATTTTCAAGTGACAGCCAACTTCTCCTTTCCTACTTCCTCAACATGTTTACTATTAATAGACAAGCTAATTGTACTATATAGTAACTGTATGAATAGAAAACTTAATTATGCTCATTAGGGGAATATACATTTCAAGTAAAGATTGAAAGAAATACAAATAGATTAAAATCTCACGTCACCTAAATTGCCCCATGTCTACCGTCAGGTTTGAAAATATAATTAATTCTGATTGTGGGTCCCACTGAAATCATGTAAGTCCCTCAAAACTGATTTCCACAACTAGGCTCATCTTTTAATCCTTGGCCTTTAACAGTGTTTGGCACACTAGTCCTGGAAGTGAGGGCATCTTACTTTGCTAGCTGAAGTACGTTCCGGTAGCAGCTGTACAGGGAACTCTCAGCTGCTGTGCGGTAGCGGCTCTTGTACTTTGGCCCCACTGTGTGAATGATGAACCGAGCAGCTAGGTTAAATCCCTTCGTCAATTTTGCTTCACCTGTTCGGCAACCTGGGAATAAGAGAGACACACGTTAAGCCTGCAGGTATGCGGGAACACATCGGGTCGTAGCACTAAACAGAGAAAAGTATGTACACTTTTGATGTTTCAATTCAAAATATCAGTTGAACACAAGAATTTATCTCCATTCTTGCTATTTCTGTTTCTCTCAAAATGAAAGCGAAGCAATGCAATGAGCACAAAGATAGTGGGAAGCTTGAAGCAGGAAAGCATTTCCAGCTTATGAAGGTACGAAGTCAGTGGATGAGGAATGACTAGCTAAACAGTAGGGCAAGCTGCCTGCCTGCACAAATGGGTAACCAACATGAAGCAAGATCTAGACTAAGAGGCACTGTCAGATTGGAGACAGACTGCTTCAACTCAAGTCCTAAGTTCTCTCCATTCCTATTCTAGCATCTATGGCAGGTGCTTGGTCTCATCATGTCTTGTTTCTTATTTGAAGGGAAACTATTAGTATTTACCTCATGAGATTAAATGAGTCAGTACATGTAATATACAGACACATATTAGCTATTATTGCTATTACAATGCAAAGGCTCAGAAAGTGCAAGTTCTCAGTACTTCTGTAGCTATGCTGTAATATGAGACTAAACAAAAAAAGATGCAGGGGAGATGGGCTGGTGGTCTAAGCTGGCAAGCGCAAGGACCCGAGATTGATCTCCAGTACTAATGCCATGCCAGCCCTACACTGAGCTGGCCTTGAAACCGGGCATGGTGGTGTACACCTGTAATCCCAGCACTAGGAAAGCTGAGACAGGAGGACCACTATGAGTTCAAGCTGTGTGGCAAAACCCTGCACCAAATAAATACATTTTAAAAAATAAAAGGACATTAGGGTTAAGAAGTTTGTATGAAATCAAATGCACAACTTTCCCTCCAGCTACCACATGAAGGGGATGATTTCTCTAAGACCAAAGGATCAAAGAGGGAGTTTATTCTCCTCTCACAGCAAAAATTTGGTTTCTTGATCAGACAACACAATTCTTTTGATTTTACTTTTTTCAAAGAGTCAACAGTGTATGTATTTTTGTTCAAATTCTAGCATCTTTATTAGATTATAAAATAGATGTCAGTTTTAAATGGCAGAATGTGGAAAACAAGATTTTATACTGGGATTAAATTCAGAGCTTTTCTGCACTGAGCTATATCCTGAGTCTTTTTCAATTTTTGGGATGGGGTCTTGCTAAGTCACTAAGTTGCTCAGACTGGACTTAAATTCACAATGCTTCTGCCTCAGCTTCACAGAGGTACACACTACTGTGCCCAGCCTGAAGTTCACATATTCAATGCATAACATAAATGTTACTCATTTTTTGAATATAATATTTTCTATGAAATGGGAAGATTCAATCTCACAATATTCCATTTGGCTGAAATAATTGTAACAGAAGGATAGGTTGGTAATTTTAAAAAATTAAAGCAGATAAGGGCAATAGGATTCTGAACCAGAAGACCTCTTCCTATTCACATTTCCACAGCAATAGTCAATTTCCATCTCAGAAATGTACCATTGTGTCCAGGAGATATGTATAAAGAAACTGTCCTGAATGTCAAAGTGTGATGAAAATTCCTCTGTCAAGGACAACTATTTTACAAGGCTCATGAGTACAAGCAAATATAGTCAGGGAAACACAGCAATGATGGAATGGCTACAATAACTGTCACTTTAAAATTCAAAAACACAACAAAAAGTTTTACAGGCAGTAAAACCTCAAGGTTCAGCTTTTATAACACCTAATGCAGCTTTCAAAAACTGTTTTATTGAATTCTAACAGAAGGAAAGAGTTATATTTACATAATTTTCTCCCCTAAAAACAAAATTTTCTTCTTTGAGGTAGAGAAACATAACAATAAATGATTCCTAGGGAATAACATACCTAAGAAAATTGACTTACCTTTCAGCTTCTGTAGGTCTTCCTTCAAATCAGGCCCTGCAAGCATGAAGATACTTTCGGACACAGGGTTCTTATCTGTGAGGCTTTCATTGCTGGTATTCACAATGGCCGTGCAGTTCAATAATGCCACATCACCTTTCCTGAGTAAGCAAGGAGAAAGTGTGGGCAAGAAGAGGTACAACAACTAGTTTATAATTCTTTCAAAACATTTTAACTTGGCCTCTTTTGCAAGTTGGTTTTGCTTGCCAACTAGCTAACCACAGAAGAAATTTTATGACTAACAAATGTATGTATGTATGTATATATGTGGTGGTTGCAGGGTTTCACTATGCAGCTTGAACTCATGGTGATCCTACACCTTTCAGCTTCCCCAGTGCTGGGATTATGGGCGTGCTCCACTGAGTCTGACTCTGCAGGACAGCTCAGACCGCCCTGGGGGCAAGACTGGTATGGCATGTGGTGCCGGGGATCGAACTGCAGTCCCTGAGCTTGCCTAAGCTTACCTAAATAGGCTCTTTAGTTCGTTGAACTATCTCCACAGCCCCTGACTCACAAATTTAATCTGGCCTATCTGATACAATTTTAATGCAACTGTTACCTCCTGAAATTCATAAAATGATTTATGTCACACATTTGTTCATTACCTGTTTTTCTGTTGTAACAGAAAGCTTACAAAATTGAAAGTGGTTGCTTTAAAAAACTTAGAAATGGGGTTAGTCATAAAGGTAAAGAGAGGAAACAACATCAATTTCCATTAGCAAATGAACTGATAAACATAGTATAGCCAAACAATGGAATATTATCAGCCCTAAGAAAAAATAAGGCACTGATTCATACCATATTCAATATAAGTCACAAAAACTTTATATATGTTACTGAATTTCATTTACATGAAATGTCTGAAATAGGATAATTTAGAAAGACAGAGGGCAAACTGAAAATACAAAGTAATCTATAGTGATGGAAAAATCACTGGTAGTTTAAGGATGTGAAAACACAGGGAAGGACAAGAGGGAAAGACTGCAAAGTCTACAAACAACTTTTGGAGACAATGGATATTTTCACTATCCTTGCGACAACTTTATAGACACAGATGAAGGCTAGTACCTAACACACTGTACACTTCAAATTAGCTTATGATATATCAACTACATCTCCATAAATTTATATAAAAATGCAAAACAATGTTTAATGCTAGGGTTCACAAAAAAGAGTTTAGAGGAAAGCATGAGAAAACGTTATTGGATGATGATATATTTTCAAAATTTACCAAAGAACCACTTTTCCATTGATAACCTTATTATAGAGAAAAGGTGATCTAATAAGATTTTCCTGAGATGTTTCAGCTGTGGTCTCAGAAGCATTTAATTCCTCTTCACAGGAGTCAGCCCAGCTGAGCAGAGTATCCACGTCCACGAATTGGGACGGTGCGCCCAAGGGATCCATGGGATGAGAATTTCAGCTCTTTCCCCAGATTCCTCAGCAATTTAATAATCCCTTGAGAGTTGAGCTTAAAAGAAAAGAAAGAATTTTAAGAGAAGCAAAGACATTACCTCAATTCTACTACACAACACTTGTACTGTGAAATGTTTCAATAGTATACTCCTTAAGTCATTGTAAAAGTCCACTAACAATAATGGAGAACAAAGAACTACTACATCTTTTCTAAAACAGGAACACAGGGGGATTATTTAAGCAAAAATTCTTTTCCAAGAATCACAGCCATTAATAATCACATGGCCCATGAGTTGGACCTCTTGGAAATAGAACTATTCATTCAACATTCACCGAATGACCACTACTTAAAAGGAAAAAAAAAAGTGTTAGGAGCTGCAAGATATCCAAAGGCACACAACGTGTAATTTAAAGAGCTCAGTTTGATAATGTAATGTGGAGAATGTACTGAGACAGTGAGAACTGTGAGAAGTGAGCTGGTAACTATGATCAAATGGTAATAATAAATGTTTCAACTAAGTAACAAGTAGTGCAGAGGACCCACGGATTAAAGAGGTAACATTCAAAGGAATACCAAACTGAATCTGGCAATTTATAGGATATAGTTATGCTGTAGGCAGCTGAGTTAGACAGAAATAATACAGGCAGTCAGGGCGAAGCCCTTGAAGGAGCCAGGATGGAAAACAAGATATCTTGCAACTGTGGGAGAGGTAAGACTACTCTGCTGTGGGCCAGACTTCAAGACCAAAGATCAAACAAATGCTTACCTGTCTAAAGATAAGCGCCTGGGATTGATAATCATCTTGAGGAAGCCAGAAGAGTCACTAACCTAACCTGGTACAGGAGATGCCCCTATTCATGTCCCTTGCTACTTGACTTTCCCATTTGGTCCTGGATTTAATCAATTTCACCTGACCAATTGTGTTTGTAATCTTATTGGTCGACCAGTTTTGTCCCACCTTAAGTGAGTTCCCATGTTTTCCACCTTAGACTCAGCTCATGGTTTTGTTCTGTAAGAATCCCCAGAAATGGCAGATTCCTGGGCAACCCACTTGGGTCTCCTTCTGTCCCTCTCTTGGATAGAAGCTTTCTCTCCCTCAATAAATAAGTTCTGCTCTTAACTTCCATTGTTCCGAAAATTCATTCTTCAGTTTTAGAGAACATGAACTCATCTCAGATATCTTTCAGGTTGGGAGTTTCATTCTCCTTTATCAATGGGAAATTTCAGCAGGCAAAACGATTATTCAATTTGCCAATAAATCCCATAACTTTCTGTAAAATAGATCCATTCATCCAATAAATTCTCATAAGCATCTATGACATATTAAGTACTGTTCCAGCCATGAGGGCTATATGATAAATAAGAGAAAGTCTCTCCCCTCCAGGACTAATGTCAATGGAGAAGACATGGTACAGAAGCAAAGAAGAATCTAACAGAATGACTGGAGGCAAAAAATAATAAAAGAGAAAAGGTGACGATACCTGAACAGAGAAGAAAAGTGAAAAAAACAAGAAGTTCTTGGCAGTGTTTTGGGCTGAATGAATACAAGTGCAATAGCCAAAAGGGCAGGAAGGACTGTGCTGTACTACAGCAAGAGCCAAGAGGTCCATGTGGCTAGAGTGACATGTGCTAAGTAGAGGAGCAGGTGGGGAGGTGGGCCAGCAGGGACAGATCTGATGATACAGTTTGTAAGCTAAGCTAAGCAATTTAGATCTTACTGTAAATATAAGTGGAGGCTACTAGAGGTCCTTGATCAAAATAATAACTAAATATAATTAGTATTCAAAAATCTACCAGATACAATAAAATAAAGATGGGGGCAAGAGCAGAAGTGGATCAGTAGAGAAAAACAAACTCTACTGAGACAATGGTGATGAGAAATGTTAGGTTTAGAATGTACTTTTTAAAATATATTTAGTACAAGATCTATAAGGTCTCATAACACTGATAGCACTCCTAGTGATCCTCCTGTTTTTAGCCTCCCAAGTGCCAGGATTACAGGTGTGTGCCACACCCAGCTTCAGATGCTGTCACAGTGGGGGGGTGGGAGACCTGCATGGCATGTGATGTGGTGGATCAAACCTTGGTCCCTGGGCCTGCCTAAGTAGGTGCTTTGGTCTGCGGATCTATCTGGTGGGCCCTCAGAATGTACTTTTTTAAAGCAGCGTCAACAAGAGTTGATATAATATATATAGGTAAGGGAAAAGAGCAGAATCAAAGATGATTCCTAGATTACTTACTGATTCTGAGGGTGGCAGTGCTAATTATGGAGAAGAGGAAGACTGGAGTAAATTGCGGGGTACGGTGATATTGAAGATTTTTTTCCCCCTTACCCTTTCTGGGTGTGCTAAGTTTGAGACAATCATTATGCAGTGCAGTACTTATGCCAAACATAAAACTAGCTACATGAGGTTAGAGCTAAGAGAACAAGCTGAACTAAAGATATTTAAACCTGGAACTCTCAGCATACAGATGATATTCAAAGCTACACAAATTGTACAAGATAACGTAGAGAGTAAGTTCAGACAAGGAAAAGAGTTCCAAAGCATGAATCCTCAGCAAAATTTAGAGCTTATAAGAAAAAGAAGACAGAAACAGACACAGGAGCACTGATTAGAAAGGAAGGAAAACCAGGAAAGTGTGGTAGCCTAAGACAAAGTGAAGAAATATTCAAAGTAGGGGTGCTTGAGAAGAAGCGCTCACATTAAATGTAAGCCTTCAAAGAAGTATTTAGCTGATGTTTATTTAGTTCATCCAATCTGCCTTTGAAACTGGACATAATGACAAGTTTTACTGATGTACTCCAATTATTCACACAAACAGAAAAGAGAAGAGATGAAGGGTATACTCATCACAGTTAAGTGGCTCAGTCAGACTCAGTGAAATGAGGCTTTGAAGAAATTTATAATCTCAAAAATAGGTGGATTTTTTTTTTTTTTGATGCCAATGACTCATGTGAAAAGTTCTTAACCATACTGCTATAGGCAGCTGAATTAGATAGAAATATTAGGCAGTCAGACAGGGTCACAGGCCCTCAAGGAGACAAGATGGAAGACAAGGTGACTTTGCAACTTGGAAGAAACAGACATTCTCATATGGGCCACACCTTAAGACAAAAGAGGAAAGAAATACAGCTACATACTTCCCTAGGGATGGGCATCAGGCACTGACATTCTAAAGAGGTATCAATGCCTTGAAAGAGCCCAAATGAGTCACTAACGGAACCCCCAACAGGAAGAGACCTTGTCCTGTATTGATGCCTGCTTGCTACTAGACTTGCTTCCTCATTTGATACAGGATTTAATCAGTTTTACCTGAGCAAAGGTGCTTGTAATCTCATGGGTTGACCACAGTTTTGTTCCACCTCATGCCCACTTAAGGGAGTTCCCAAGCTGTGCACCACCTCAGACCCACTTTACTGCACGGTTTTACACTATAAAAATCCCTGGAAGAGACAGCTTCCTGGGGACAACCTGTTCGGCCCCCTTCCTGTCGCTCTCTTGGACAGGAGCTTTCTTTTCCCCAATAAATATATTCTGTTCATAACCTATTTGTTCCTAAAATTCCTTCTTTGGTTTTAGAGAACATGAGCTCGTCCCAGATACCTTTCAGGTTGGGAGATCATTTTCTCCCTATCATGTGAAGGTCGTTCACCCCAGATCAGTTTTTCTCCCTGTGTCAATAATGTATTTGAAAAATCCCAACAATTCATACCTAGTTTTAAGTTTGATAAGTTGAATGCTAGCTTTCAGAACAAAATTCCCTGCTAAAGTAACTTGTCTTTCTGACTCTAAGTAACGTCCACTTACAAAACCTTTGAAATGCATCAAAAAATTAAACAGAAGGAAAAAAACCCTAAAGTTTAGTAGTTCTTACCTGATTCTGTGATAGGTAAAATCACTGAATCTAGATCCTTTACTACTTTAAGGTAAAGAATTGACTATTTCCATATTCAATATATAATGTGACAGGAGTAATATGGTGCAATGTAAGAGCTTGGGTTCTGATATCAGAAGACTGAGTTTAGATCCAGGACTCAATAGTTGTGTTATGCTTGACTCTAAGCCAGAGTTTATTTCTAAAGTAGGTTTAATTAATTCTTAGGGTTACTATAAGGATTAAATATGACAATCTGTGTCAAACTACATAGCAGAGTGTCTGGCACAAAAAAACAAAGGACACTGAAAGCTATTTGTGGGGCTGGGAAGATGGCTCAGTAGAATAAGTGCTTCCCTGGCAAGTGCAAGGGCCTGAGTTCAATCCCCAGTTTCGCAAAAAAAAAAAAAAAAGATATTTGTTACAACCTTTCAGAGTCAATTTAAGATATTTCTGCACAAGTCTTAGGATAAAGTTTTATCATACTTGTGACAGAAACCAAAATCGTCACTGTCAGGACTTAAATGTTCTCCAAACAAAAAAAAACACAAATTGCTGAGTTAAGATATCTATTTCAAAATCATGATGACTTCCTTTGTAAAGAGATTTGTTAATCCCTAGATAAACCCAACATCTGTTTTCTCTGATTCTGTTCTCGCCCACTAAAACAAAAAAAAAGTCACACAATCAGCAAACCCAAGTGCTGCCAAAACCAATGTATATTTTCCTCCATTACCCGTGCCCTCTGTACACAACATTCAGCAGACATTTCAATTATTCCTGGTGGACTCTGTGATTCTACAGTTTCTTTTTTCTTTTTTAAATTTTGTATTTTTAGGTAAGGGTCTACAGGGTGTTCAGGGTCTCAGTACTAGATCGGACTCATAGTGAGCTGCCTGCTTACAGCCTCCTAATGATACAGGTAGAAAAACTGGTCTCGGGTGGGTGACCACCAAACCATATAGGGAACCTCCAAATGACATAGAGAAAAACGATCTCTGGACCTGACCTGCATGAGTTCGTGTTCTCTAAAACCGAAGAATGAATTTTAGGAACAAACGGAGGTTATGAGCAGAATATATTTATTGAGAGAAAGAAAGCTCCTATCCCGAGAGAGGGACAGGAGGGGGGCCCCAGCGGGTAGATTCCTGGGGCAGCTGTCTCTTCCAGGGATTTGT